ACCTACAAGTTTTGTGTGTTTAATAGCCCTTTGGTAATCTGACCAACGGATGTAGTTGCCTTATAGTTTTAAGGCTGATGTGCCTTGTCCTTGATAAGCTTTCCAAAGAGTTTACTTGTAGTTTGGCATGTACAACATGTAGACTAACGTTATTTCCTTGAATTTAGATGCCATCGTTCTCTATAATTATCCTACTCAGGTAAGCTTAGCACAATATAGAGCATAAACCATCTTTAGAACATCCTTATGGTATGCATGATAAATTCGATGGTATTGAATGCTATATAATATTTGTGTTCAGGTCAAGGAGCACGGGAAGGATTTGAAAACGCATAAGGCTTTCAGGTGTTAGGCCCTGTTTGGACTAGGTTTATTGCTAGAAGCAATGATAAACTATACCATGCGTATAGTTGTGAAGATAAACTGAAAATCCATATCGAGCAAATTCTCATATTCAGAGATAAGACTAAAAGAATTATCAATTTCTAAAAGAAACCCACCCACAAATTGAGTTTTTCAACTCTTAAAATCTAGAATCTTTTCTCTAAGATAAGAAACCAGATCCATGAGAAACAAGGTCTTAGACTTTAAGAAAATAGATATTGTTGTGTATTTGAAACCCCTATGACTTATTATCAGTGTTTTTTTTTAACAAATTTTCTATTTTTTATTGATGGATTGGCTTTGCAACGTGACTGGGTCTTTTGTGATAAATATTATATATGATAGGAGTGTTTAAATGACTAGAGCTAATAGCACTAGAGAAAATAAATATATATAGAAAACTTCAAGTTGGTCGTAATAAAAGCTTTCCTTAAAATAAGGTCACAAAGTTGGGCATGGGCATTGCTAGGGCTATTTGCTGTCCGATTGTTGGAAAATAAAAGGAAAAGCAGGGAAACCACGCTCTGTCTCAGCCTCCGTTGTCTGTCCGACCCGGCGTTGTGATTGGGGGAGTAGGGAGTGCTCACACCATTTCCTCTCCATTCACATCAGCGCTCGACGCCTGCGCCCCGAATTCCCAAATCCTGCGCCGCCTCCGCCCCAACCCTGCTCGCCGACTCCTCTCTGCCGAACACGCCGGAGGAATTCCTTCTCCGGGACTCGTCTTCCTCCTCTCTGCCGGGCTGGCGTGGAGTGGAGATCCATCACCACGTGGACTGGTCTCTTCTTCTGCTGGTAAGTAATCCTAGCTTTGCTTGAACGGAATTCCATCTTCAAAGAGTTGGCTTGTTCTCAAATCAAATCCAAATCCTTCCTCCTCCCCCATTGAGTTAGTCGTGGATTTGTGTGCTGCCGCGGTGCCCCCACTGATTCAATTTATCCACCCGTGGACCATGGTACGATTTGGTTCTTCTTCAGCGCACCTAGATCGACATTAGTCGACGCCATAGGCCAATTAACGTGCAGGTGTAGTATGAATTCCGAACCGTTTGGGTGTTAACTGAACCTCCTGCTCCTGATCAGAGTCACGGGGGTGTTAGTCTATTAGATAGATCTGTTTGGTTTTCAAGAGCACTTTGTGGATTATAGTGTAGAACTTCAGTGAGAATTCGTGGATTATCCGTTTCTGTGTTGCTCCTTTGACTTTTTGAGAGATGGTTATGTCAGCCAATGTTGTTAGTGTTACATCACTCGAGGAAAGGTTGCCACTACGGTACTACCAATTAAATATGCTACCTTGGGAGAAATAACTAACAGCTTAACTGCTTAAGTTTGGTAGTTCACATCGAGCCTGTGTCTATGATTTTCCCCTGTCAGTCCTTTTTGTAAGGAGTCAAGGTAGCTATAATTATGTCTGAGAAATGAGAACTTTACTAAACCTACAATTTTCCTGTTTCCAAATAGATGGTAACATAGAGTGCCTGTAATCAAACATTTTAAACCGGTTGTCAGTACGCACAATGGACTGAAGTATTTAGATAATGTCAGTTTAGCCAACATACTACTAAGGAAGCTATTGGTCCAGGTTGCATTCCATTGGAATCCATGCTAATAATATAAATTGTACTTATTTACAAAAATAACAATACTTTTAAAGTAAATCAATGCCTCCACCTCCTGCCTGGAACCGAGGCAGGTTATGAGCTAAGGGCTCCTATGCTCCTGCCAAGAAGAAATGCCTCCAGTCTCGTTGGCATACTGATATATATAGTCGGTAAACGAATAAGTAACTCAAATATATCTACTTGCTGTCGGTTTAAGCAGGGGTTCGGTTTTTTTTCTTCTCGGCCCTTGTGGTTGAGGCTTGGTGCAGTGGTGAGAGCTGTCTCACTGAGTCACCAGGTCGCGGGTTCGAAGCAGCCTCTCCGCAGATTTTGCGGGGGGAAGGCTTGTCTCGGTTTTTCCTTTCCCCAGACCCCACTCATGTGGGAGCCTCCGGCACTAGGTCTGCCCCTTGTGGTTGAGGCTTCTTAATCATAATAATGCCTTGGGGAGGTTGTTCCCCAGGGTTGAGGTTTGTTTTTTTAAGCACGGGTTTTTATGAGGTATTATTTCTTGCCATCTCATGAGAGATGTCAAAGCTGCATTCACTCCTTACCTACGGAACTCTTTTTGTCCAAGACAGGCCTCCCTTATTCATGTATTGTGGTATGTGCATGGCACCTGTCTAGTGTCTATAAAGATCAACCTTGTCTTGCAGAGTCGAATTGTTCTATCAGATAGTCATTGTGGATCCTATAACATTATGAGATGAATATGTATTATTTTATATGTTTTAGAAACATTTTATTATAAATATAAGATAAAAAAAATTGTTGCTGCACCCTTATTGGACAAGAAAGACATCTCATGCGAAGAACTTGCAACTCCGCCGTTGATTTCCGTACATGAATATGAATATCTAGAATTTGCATTTATAAGTGAAAGGGAAAAGGCGTGACTTTTAGAAGATAAATTATATGCATTGGCTAGAATGGTTAAAATCAAATTGGAATCCAGGTAAAGTTTGAATTCTAAGGCAATGTACAACTAGGATCGTGATACCTCTCTGATCAAAACTTGACAGGGCTCTGTAGAGTCCTAGGGTTCTGAGATTTGACCTGAGATTTAAATAGCAAGCACCATAAATGTTCCCCTTGCCCTGGTTGGATCATGCGTACAGTATTTTGTTTTCCTTTTGGGCTATAGAATAATAGAAGTCAGTAGCAAAAGCATCATTGGGTGTGCTTAAACACTATATTCTAATTCTAAACATAGCTTGCTTGGTGTGCTAGATATGTAAATTGTTGGCTAGAATAACCTTTGACTGTACCTGTATTTCCTTGCTATTTATTGAAAATTTTGAAATTAATAAGTAGGAGTCTGGTTAATATAATTACCAAAATGTCTGATTACTTATGCTCTTAAAGTTCAATATGGTGATGGTCGTGATATGCCCCCAGCTCTCCAGACTTATAAGTTCAAATGCATCAGATTTAGACATTCATGTTGGTTCCTTGTGAAACACCCTGTCAATATAAAAGATTTGACAGTAGTGACAAGCTAATGATCACATCAATAAAAGTGATATGCTTATTATGCTGCTATCTGATTGAATCCTTGTGGTCGATATATGCATACCTTTCATGAATCCAGATCCCCCCTGCTGTAAGCTAGTTGCACAGAACAATACAAATTTATTTCCTTCATTTTTTGAGCAAAAGTCATTAATACATTCTACACTATTCCTTTCCTTTTTTGCTCTAGATAGCTAGTAAATAAGTAAATCGTGCATCGTTCAAGATTGCTTGGAGACTCCAGTGTTCCTTTACCAAGCAAATAGACACCCCCCCCCCCTCCTTTGTGGGTGGGTAACTGAACATGTTCTTTATATGTTCTTTGTTTCTCTCGATAGTTTCGCTTCGTTTCTTGGTCACTGGGGGCTTTGATGTACTTCTGAATCCCTTTGTTTCAGTGATGAAGAAAAGTCATCTTCCTCCTAGAATAGTTGTTCCATCATGTTTCGACATGTTTGCCTGCCAAATAATGTTTCTTACACTATAAAACTATAGTTGATTTAGTATAAGTTCTAAAAAAATACAACTGGAGATGAAATTATCGTGAAATGGAACGCGAGACCTTTACGGATTCGTTTTGCTTGCTACAACAAGATGGAGTTTTAATTTCTTTACTCAATGCCTTGCATGGTTGCACACCCGCTACACAAAGCATCGGTACACCCATAGCAATTAAGCATGATGATTGGTATCTTGACGGAGCAAACAAAGCTTTTCCTTTCAATGTTGGAACACGTATGGAGGGTTAATCAAAATGATTGTTATTGTTTTCTTGACTTTCCTGTAGTTCAATACATCGAAAGAAAAGGTCCCTTGTTTCCATTTCCCAGATGTTAGCTTCCAAAAACGTAGCGTCTAAATATACTTGTAGAATAGCTACTGGTGTATTTGTGTCAAGTCATATTTGATGGAATTAGGTGAACTATTAATCATAAAAAAGGCTACCGTAGGTCTTTCCCTTTTGCCCATTATATCTGGCTATCTGCCACCTAAACCATTATTGTTGTTCTTAATGGTTGAGTACACGCTTCTCTTATAAAGGTTATAAAATTTAGGATTTATCATTTTGTTATGGTTTGGCACTGAATCTGTCATTCTCTTTTTCCCGCAGGTTAGGCACTGAATCTGTCCTTCAATGCCTTCACAGGCTCTATCCCTGAAGAAGTTGCAGAGTTAGAAGCTATTGCCACGTTTTTGTTGAAGGGAACAAATTTTCGGGTCATATCCAGATTGGACACGGAACATGGTGAGTCATATTCTCAGTGTCATGTGTTCTCCAGTTTGTGATTCTTCACTATTTTTCAATCATTACTCAAAGAATTGGCAAATTCGAGGCCCTTGGGGTTCTAATTAACTGAATCTTTTTGATGGAGTTTGTTTTTGTTGCTTATGTCCATCGACCCTAAGATGTTGCCTTTTGCTTCGAAGTGAAAGCTCTTTCCTTTTGGGACAAGAGAATAAAGGCAAAAGGAACATAAGGATAGAGGAGAGAAATAAACAATGGGAAAGGGAGATGTGGCTACTAGGTCCAAATCTCAAAAATCGTCAGCAATACAGGTTTGTATGGTTAATCTGGAACTACAAGAGTAACTACTGGCACCCTCTTACCTTATCTTTCTTGTTTCAGAATGAGCAGAGTACACCTACTAACCCCCCCACAGCATATCCTGATTGGTCTCAGTTCCAGGTGTGTGAAATGAAACTGTGCTGTATTGCTTTTTTATTGATCTAGTAGATTTATTTGTGTAATTGTTAATATAAATCTGTAGGCATACTATAATGCTGCTGGGACAGCTCCAGTGACCCCACCGGCTTTTTTTCATTCATCTGTAGCTTCAAGCCCTCAGGGGCACCCATATATGTGGGGTCCACAGGTATATTCTCTCTCTTCAACCATTTTGCAAGAATAAGTCTAGTAGCTAGTGTAAGTCTGCAATCATGAGGTTTAGTTAGTAGATGTTAGGATGAATCTGTCTGTTAACTGTAGTACAAGGTACAAGTTTAGCAGATTTTTTAACATTTTGTTCATAGGGTTTGCTAGCCCTTTATTTATTTTAAGGATACTATCAGCTACCGCAAGCACTGTAGCTCTGGAGATAATCGGTCATCTAACATTTGATTATTTAATTGGTATAGATGATGCCTCCTTATGGGATACCACCACCATATGCAGCAATGTATGCACAAGGCACACCATATCAGCAGGCACCCATTCCACCGGTAATGTACCTCATTTTACTTGAGAGCATGTTCTTATATTGTGTTAATGCTTGGTTGATATAGTAATGAACTAAAATGTCCTTGTTTTTGGTTTAGGGTTCACACCCATACAGTCCTTATCCTATGCAGTCACCAAATGGGACAGTTCAAACTCCAGTAAGTTAATGGGCGCCTTTTGCATGATCTATTTATTGTTGCAGAATGGATGCAGAATTTCACCCATTCCTTTCTAAAGCTTTCCATCTTAACTGTTCTCTGTCATTTATATTTATTACTTAGGAATTCATTTGTTCGAGTCCTGTTTATGCCATCTGTTTCCTCAAAGCAGATAAGATTTTGTTTTTTTTTTGATTGGGTTATGTTGTTAGACATCTGGTGCTGGCGGTACAGAGACAAATAAATCAAATAAAAATAAGCGGAAGACTCCCCTGAAAAGATCAAAAGGAAGCTTAGGTAGTCTGGATGTTGTTGCAGTAAAAAACAACAAGTCACCGGCAAAGCCTTCAGCTTCTTCCTCCAATGAAGGTTCTTCACAAAGGTAATTTTATTCCTTTTTTTTGTTATACTAACAGATAAATTATTGAATCCACTATCTATTATACAGTGAGAGTGGAAGCGGGAGTTCTTCTGAAGGAAGCAGTACAAATTCAAAAAGTGTATGTCATTCCGTTATATTACTTAACATTTGACTTCATAATGCTATCAGTACAAATTCCAAAGCAGTATGTTACTGTTTCACTCTCCTCCCCATTACGGAAGGCCTAGTTTGTGGGAGTAATTTCTGCTCTAATCTTGAAATCCTCTGGGCAGCATCTGCAGTATGCAGATCGAGTGCATGAGAGGTGCAGTTTGGTACAGTTTGCTACTGGTTCTGTCTGTGTACATGGTATTTTAAGAGGATGCTGAGTAATGAGTATCCAGTTCATTTTTCAAAACAAATTCTAAAGAACCAATCTGTAGCCTTGTATTAAGTTTCATTAATTTCCCAGGTTCCATATGTTGCATGAGATACTTTACCATTTGCAAATCTAGTCTTCTGTTTCATATTTTTTTTCTTTGGTTATTATAGTGACTTACAAGTTAGATGTATCTGTGTTATCCTCGCTTCCAACATTGTTTACCTGCTAGCTCATGGACAAACTAGAAGGATGCATCCTACCCTCCTGCATTTTTGTTCCTTTGTATGTTGGATATGATCATCATCATGCTAATTTATACTAACTGGCATAAACAAATAATTTGCCTGCAGAGTTCAAGGGCGAAGGATGGTTCTGAGCAAGGTCAGGGTAATGGTAAGACTTGAAGCTTTATATATAATATGACTTATAACCAACTACTTTTAGCCCCCCTGCGGGAATAGGTACTGAGAAACAAATTGGTGTTTTTATTTAGCACAAAACATTAGATACAATAGTTATGTTCCTTCTTTTCCGCCAGATGCTAGGAGTAAAGGTACTCAAAGCTCTGCAGTTGAGCCCACACAACCATCTTCTGGGCCTGTTGTGCTTAACCCTATGATGCCATTTTGGCCTGTTCCCCCTCCTATGGCTGGCCCAGCAACCACTCTGAATATGGGAGTGGATTACTGGGGTACTCCTGCTTCTGTACCCATGCATGGTAAAGTTATTGCAGCACCGACATCAGCTCCTTCATCAAATTCACGTGATATTGTTCTCAGTGATCCGGCTATACAGGTCTGTCACTGTGCAGGGTTTGGTTCTCCTTGTCTTTATTTTGTTCTAGTACCTACCTTGCATTTCTTACTTAGCGTTATTTTCTTATTGACATAGGATGTAAGAGAACTGAAGAGACAAAAACGGAAGCAATCAAATAGGGAATCAGCTCGACGCTCAAGATTGCGCAAGCAGGTCTGGGATGTCTGCAGCGTTTAATAAGAATCATTGGATGTTATAATTTATCCTATATCTTGTGAGTAGTTTGCATGTCTGCTAACTGCTTATTTAGGAGTGACCATCTTGTTAGTGATGGGAGTTATGGGTGTGGGGTTTGGGCCACCAGTTTGGTAGCAGCATCGACCAGTCAAGACACTTACGCTAAGTCGGTTTAGAATTGGTTTAAGATAAGATTTGTAAGGAAGATAAGGTCAATTGGTTAGTTTGTTAAGTGTGTTAGCATCTTGTGTTAGGGGCTGGATATAAAGCATAGGCACACTACCAGTTGAAATCAAGCAAGAACAACAAAAAAGAAGCTGCCAGAGCCTCCAGAGCGAGGGTGACTAGCTGGTTCTTCCTGTTATCCCATCTATACCTAGTCAATCTATATCATGGTTCATGGATCTAGTTGAAAACAGTAGGGTAAGTTAAGGGAGGATCGGAGGATAACTTTTGCCAACATGAAACATTAGTCAGCTTTTACCTATTCTCTTGTATAAGGTCATAAAGTCTATTGGATCATGACATTATGCAGTTGCTGTAGAATTCTGCACAATATGAACTCAACATATGTGTGTGTATATATATATATATATAACTCAAACCACAGCATATTAGGATCTGGTTGAACCTACTTGAATTGACTGCAGTAGATGATGAGAATAATCGCTAAATATGCATAACCATGTGGACCATGCATGTGTTCCTGCGCATGTTCCTAGAGTCAAGAATAACGATGGTGCTACTGTAGTGATGAGTTATTATTCATGGATGACAACCAACATTTCAACGGAACAATACGACTAGTTGAGGACTAATATACAACAACAACAACAAAGTCTTTTAGTCCCAAGCAAGTTGGGGTAGGCTAGAGTTAAACCCAACATGAGCCCTTAGTCACGGTTCAGGCACGTCGATAGCTGCTTTCCAAGCACTCCTATCTAAACAAAGATCTCTAGGTATATCCCAACCCTTTAAATCTCTTTTTATTGCCTCCCCCCATGTCAGCTTTGGTCTTCCTCTACCTCTCCTCACATTGGTATCTCGACTTAGGATTCCACAATGCACTGGTACCTCTAAAGGTCTCCTTTGGACATGGCCAAACCACCTCAACCTATGTTGAACAAGCTTTTCTTCAATTGGTGCTACCCCTAGACGGTCACGTATATCATCGTTCCTTAGAAGATGATGGTTGAACCAGGATCATAGAAAGCAGATAGCATCCAAGGAATAATATATCATAAATTTTCCATAAGGCTAAACAAAACAATTGAGGCACATTTTGAAAACAGCTGCATATTTGTTTCCAAGCTCATGCATATAGCTGATAGCAGGACCCACAGATTTTATTTATTTATTTATTTCCTAGCTGTGGCACCTAAAAGGGTAGATGCTGCCACGTTTGTTCATATACTTTGGTGTGCTTTGCTTCATGCAAGCCTTTGATGTATTCTATATTTTTTATGGCATACTACAGGCTGAATGGGAGGAAGTAGCCAATCGTGCAGATTTGCTAAAGCAGGAAAATAGTTCACTTAAAGAAGAATTGAAACAACTTCAGGAGAAGTGTGATAGCTTGACCTCAGAAAATACATCTCTACATGTAAGCTTTCTCTTTTGTTTTTGACCTCAGAAAATACATCTCTACATGTAAGAGGGATTGGAGCAGAGAGAGGAAGGTGAGTGCTAGTTGATGGGAGCTGCTGCTGCTGCTGCTGCTGCTGCTAGTGGTTGTCGATTGAAGGAGAAGCTGGTTGCTTGGATTTATTGACCGAGAAGGAAAATAGAGGAGCAGTGCAATAGCAGTAGCAGCAGGTTCGAGCTGATGTCCACGCAGCCAAGCTGCAGCACCACAGCCACCAACCAACTGCCATGGCTGGAGCTGGGCATGAGCGGCCATGCCGCCTCCGCTTTGGACTACTACAGCGCGGTGCTGAACAAGCTCAAGTGATCCGTTCGGCGATGGTGCAGGCCACCTTGGCAGGGGCGGCATTCGGCTATGGCTGCGCACAATGGCCAGTGCTCATCATGGGGGCAGTGCTCGAGGTGGTGAGGTTGACGCTCGAAGGGGATGAGGTCGGCACTCGGTTGGGGCAGTGCTCGGGCATGGGCAGCGCTCTGAGAGAGAGATGGGGAACGGCTGGAGATAAGGGATGAGCAGGGGGACCCACCAATCATTGGCACCGAGGGAGAGGAGGGCCTTACGGGTGGGCCCAATCTGAGTGAGCATGCTGACTGTCCAGCGTGGCGGTCAAAACCGGTGAAACCAGCATTAAAGGGGTGTGGTGGCCAAATATGTCTGGTTTACACAATTGAATGGCTAAAGATTTCTGGTTTTCGAGTTCAGTGACCGAAACCGAACTCCGCGATAGTTCTATGGCCAAAAAAATGGACTTCTCCCTTTTTTTAATGCCAGTGGTTGCACTGGGTACGCCCTTTAGTGGTTGGGCTGTATGCACACCTTTTTGGAATTTTAGATTTGATCTTGCCCTCTTGACTTTGAGAAACTTATGTGAGGCATTCCTAATTCTTGCAGGAGAAGCTTAAAGTGCTTGAGGATGAGAAATCAAATGGAAATTGGTACAAGGATTAAAGGCTGAAACTTCTCTCTTTCTGACTGCTGATGTAAGGAACAATTTACTTGTGAGCTACCATTAGGTTTACAGAATACCAACTCTGATTGCTGCTGTAATGTTCTTGATTTTTCAGATAATTTGGTGGTAACCTGATAGGACGACAACTAAGGAGGTATTAATGTACGGTATTAGATTTTTGTCTGAGGGGTAAAATTGTATCATAGGATTTGACATGGTTGATGGCTACAGATTCTTCTTCCAGTTGCCTCAGCTGCTGTCCTCTGTGTTGTTTTTTCTTCCTCTTTGTGCTAGATCCTACAGAAGTACAACTATGTAGAAACCCCCCAGGTGTTGTTTGAAGCTTGGGGATTAGCGTATGGTATAGCTGTTGTAGAGCTGCTCATTGAGCTTCTTGAGAGAAACTGAAGCGTGTTAAAGCCGTCATATTTGATTTATGATTCAGACGGACTAATTTTACGTATAGTACTGTACTAATGAATACAGTGTAGCTTTTACGGATTTCACCCACTCACATGACTGATTGCATCCTTGTATGGGGAATGAATGGGCTTGGAAAATTGTGGAAGATGAACAGGGTGTGTTGTTGCTCAGATGATAGTGTCGTAGATGGGAACATATTGTTCCCATGTACAAGAAGCAGCAACTCAGCAAATCTTTGTGAAATGCCACCTGAACTCGTATGCGTCTTAAAACGACAATTTGAAGGGTGCACGTTACCTTTTATTTATCTTGTACCCGGATCACATGCTCCACCGGTTAAAACAGAGTTTGTTATCCAACTGATGTTCATGCATCGCTATTCAATCACTTTACCTGATCCTTTTTTTTTTCTGCCTCGCCTTTACTCTTCTTTTTGTTGTTCGAGTCCAACACCACTCTTTCCCCCGCATGTAGCCTTCGAACAAAAGGCCATGGCGCTTGGTAATGAATCTATCTTCCTTTATTTTTGGCCACTTCATGACCAATCTCGTGCTTTCGTCGAGCACATGGGTGGTCGTTCTATCTCCTTTTCAACCCCCCCCCCCTCTGGTATAGCATTTGAATGTTGTGCAGGAGCATTTTGCGTGGTCTCAGAAAGAAACATCACAGCCAGCATGTGTCGCAGAAGATTGCCTGAACATTTGCCCCGGATCCAAAATGCAGATTGCTGAGCTCGAGAATCGGTCGAGTCAATATAATTTTAGTACGAACACTAGTCGCTGTTGCATAACATAACACAGCGTACTATACTACTACACGATTGAGGAATAAATTTCAGATCTGGCAGTGCAGATTCGCAGTCGGCAATCTCGCTTTGCAGAAGTGCGCACAGTGGCTGTACAAAACTCATCTCGGCTTTTGCCCACCCAAAGCCCTCGGCGAAGATTAAAAAAAAAAAGCCCTCGCCGACTCGGCGTACGAACTCCCATCTTTTCTTTTCTTTTTCCCACCGGCCCGTTCTGTCCCCCTTCCAACCATCCAGAGGGAATGGCAGCTGCCGATTTTTTTTTTGTTTTTTAGCCATTTTTTTTAAAAAAAATCATAAATATCCCTCTTAAGGTATGCTTTCAAAGTATGGACCCTTAGCTCGGCGCCATCGTTGGTGGCGCCGAGCTTACACGTCTCAGCGCCATAGATTTTGGCGCCTAGGTCTTGGGCTCGGCGCAGACGTGGCGGTGACTTGACAGGCACCTTGGCGCCGAGTTTGGCGCCGTGGTTATTGGCGCCGAGCTTGGCGCCGTGGTTGGCGTCGTGGTTATTGGCACCGAGAACGGCGCCAAGATCTATGGCGCCGAGGTGGTGTTTTAACCTGGCGCTCAACCTTCCTGCCCGAGCCTTCATCCTCTTCTTTCTCCTTCCTCTCGGATTTTCTCTCCCTACTTCGCCCTACCTCACGAATCAGCATATTGAACCTTGAAAACTTTGATTTAATTCGTAGATCTTCGAGAGCAATGTATCATCGCTCCCTCCTAGTTTTTTTTTCAATCGATTCGGTATATATTAGTCGGATTTTTCAACTTAAGAATCGTCATTACTTAGGGTTTCATGCAATTTTAATATTTATATTATACAACCGTATGATGCCAAGACATGAAAAAGCTACCAAACCAAGGTAACCTCAGCGCACGTTGTTATGATATATGTTTATTGTTGTGGATCAAATGGAAAACCCTAGGTGTATGGTTTAATGTTAATTGCTTTCGGTTCTTAGAACAAAAATGGCTAAATTGTAGTTATGGCCGGATGACTGGAAATGCCTTCGACCCATTGCCTCTGCCTAGTGGTGTTCCAGTGCCCATATGCTTTTGTGGCGATCCTTGCAAGGTAGCCAAGTCTGATGAAGTGGACACGTATAGACAGAGGTATTGGATGTGTTCCAATTTTGTGTTTGAAGAGGACACATATAGACAGAGGTATTGCACTCAGTAGTTTTCATTACTTGCTAGTTCTATGGTTTATTCATGAACAATGTTGTCTACTGTTGGACTTTTTATTGTGTTGTCATGTAATGCACTTTAAGTATGGACATGCTTAGGTCATGTACTACGTTATTTAGTTTGTCGGTACGTTCTTCTAGTATTATTGTGTTGTTTAATGTGTCATAGTATTAGACTTTTTATTATGTAGTTATTTTCATTATTTGTGGTCATAATATTCAGTTTAATGTTGCGGACGTAGTGAAATGTGATCACGTGCTGCAAACAAAACCTAACGAAGTAGGGCATTATATAATTCAACATACAAAACACATAAAATGACATGTGAGAACATGCACCAAACTAGGGTACAAAGGTCCTGAACTAAACCTAACATGCCTTAGGTAATTGAAGCGAACAACAAGCACAAGAAATGGCATGTGAGAACATGTACCAAATAAGGGTACATAGTTCCTTCGACTAAACCTAACATGCCTTAGGTAATTAAACTAAACAACAAACACATGGATGTGCCATGTGAATAAGATAGGGTCGTCCTAGTAGTGTGGCCACATAGCAAATTGTGTTGCACTTTCTCCACAGTAGCCTCCCATTGCTGGTGGTGGTGGTGGCGGGGGTGACGGCGGAGGTCCCTTGTTCTTGTGATTAGGGCAGGTGCAATATGGATCATTGCAGAGTGCCTCCTGTGAACTTGCACCATTGTTGTTGTCGTCGTCTTCGTCTTCCTTGTACCCGCTGCTAACTTTCCTTTGTAGATCGAAGATTTGATCCTGCAGGTAGTAGATGTACTGCTGATGCGGATAAATTGATCGAGGATCGACCCACCTAGTGAACCCATAGTTTTCTTCGGACTCGGAAGACTACAATGAGTACGTCCTATGAGTGGTAAGGGTATTCGAGAAACATATTTAACAAACGAAATGTAATAGCAATTACCCATGCTCGCGGGCATTTGAAGAAGCGACGACCTCCGTCGATCCCCTCGGTGAACATCTACACTAAGCAGTCCTCACCATGTATGTATTTTGGTCAATCTTCCTTCCTATTATCGTATCCTTTGAGAGGGTGCTCTTTACTAAAATCACTCTTACTCTTGGGGGGAAACTGATACACTGGTTCCTCAAAGAAATTAGGCCGAAGAGACCCCTCCCACACAATGGGAGTTCCTTTGTCCCCATCTTTTCTCTCCCACTCCCAAAACCCTTTCCTCTAGATGACCCCCTCCAGACATTCCTACTCCAACGAAACCGAATACTAGTTTGGTTTTCCTTTTGGTTAGCAATGCATCCTAGAATGCATATATATAGACGAAGGCAGGTTTGCTAGCCATTGTATTGTGCTATAAATGCTCCTAGAAAGTCTACTCAGAATTACTGAAAAACCTATATCGTAGGACACTAGAGAGTCTAGATTCCATTACTGAAAAGCCTATTCGATTTTAGACTTTAATCACTATTTCGAAGGACACTGAAAAGTCTATTCGACGGTGACATGACAAATCACTGTAAAGGCTATTTCCCCTAAATTCTATGACTGAAAAGTCTATTCGATTTCAGACATCAATCACTATTTTAAACCGGAAAAACTGATGCCGTTGATTAATACGTACTTTAGGCGGAAAATTTCACCATAATTTTCCCTATTTTTTATGCCATCCATACACAAATATGAGATGAATATTTAATCTCAATACAACATGTACAAACATACAAATATATACCACATTCATCTGAAACCATATACATGAGCATATTAATAGTCCACACAATCCATAATTATAGTCCATAGTAGTTCATATTCGATAATAATAGTCCATACAGTACACAATAGTTCATAATGAAACTCCCAAAGTCCATAATACTACATAATAACATCTACCACAAACTCTCACTGCCTTCTCGTCTTACCCTTACCCTTGTGACCAAGAGCGTCGGTGCCTAGAGTGTAAGGGTCAGGTGGACGGCGTCGCCTAGTGCCTGAAGACTGTGTAGGCTGAGTCGAGGGAACGTCCTGGAGCTGAGACAAGCCAAGCTCCTCATGCCTCTGGTCCACCTCGTCGTCCTCCTCGTCCTTGTCCTCGTCCTCGTACGCAATGCCTATAGACCCTGTATGTGCTTGGCTAAACAAACCTAAACCTTCTCTGCCTGCAGAAGGAACATGTACGTCTTGCGTCGTGGTTGTCCTGCTACCACAACAAGCAACCGCACGGCGTAGCCGACGTGACAGTCTCTGTTGTACAAAATAATGTTAACTGAAAGAATTTAACGTATTAATAATATATTTCAAAGAATATTTTGAATCTTACGTCTAGGAAGCTACGCGTGTCGTCGTTCCTGACTCTCGGACGAAAGCGCTCAATGTCTTCAACTGAGCATTTGAGGGTATTGCCCTGCAACAAAGTTCACAGTAAGATTGCGGTAGACATTGAAAAATGAGGACGCTACTAATGAGTACTAGTTAATTTCTGACCAGTTCCTCAACTCCATCTGTTGTACTGAATTATAAGGATGCTACGACTCAAAGGTGCCATTAACTGAAATAGAGACATCAAACACAGAATGTATTGGTATGTAACTTAA